TACTGAGGACATTCATCATCAGGCTTTCGTTTTCACATTTGCCATGTGCTCTGGGCTAGGTACAGCGTGTGTTAATAAAAGATTATGACGTGATATCAAAGGCATAGTTAAAGTGTTTCTGTGATACGTCAAGGATGTGTGTTTACTTCCCGTCAGGGAGTATTCATTTTCTGGTAAACCCCCCCCCCCCCCCCAGTGTCTCAGGCATGCAGCCGAGTGTGTATGTTTCTAGTGTGTATGTTTATATGTGTGTGTGTGTGTGTGTGTGTGTGTGTGTGTGTGTGTGTGTGTGTGTGTGTGTGTGTGTGTGTGTGTGTGTGTGTGTGTGTGTGTGTGTGTGTGTGTGTGTGTGTGTGTGTGTGTGTGTGTGTGTCACAGTCGGGGCCTAAGTGTTTCCAGATGTGATGGCGACAGGGGGAGAATGAGACAGCATTTAGACAGAGCATAAGACAGTGATCGTTAGCTGAATCACGATTGGATTACTATACTTTCCAGTGAATTCATGATTTCCACCTCTTATAATATTAACCCTAACACTCCCGGTTACATATACTCCTGGGTCAATATGTCTTAGCAACCTTATCTCAAGCTTTAAGACCAAACCTAAGCCCTGAAATCATGACTTCATCTTAACTGTGATCTAATCATCCTGCGCTGAACCCTAGAATCGCTCTGTAATAAGAATTTTAACATACTTGAAACTAATTCAAATCTATAAAGCCAAAACCTCACCCTACATTAGATCCTTGAATTTGGCAAAAATGTAGGACTTTCTTTTGCTTTATATCCTTTTTTGGAAAAAGTCCAAACACAAACATCATGGTTGTGAGGGTGTGGGACTGTTAACACTATATTTCACATTTGTGTAACTGTTGCAGAACATTAATGGTTGTTTAAAGACTACTGGAAACCTGGCTGCTGATCCAAGAGTAATAAAACATTGTTATGGTTTCAGACGTTCAAACTAAACCAGGAATCATTTTAGCTTTTTAGTACAGTTACATGATTTCTTTCTGTAGTTAAACACACTCAAAGATTGCACTGTTGAACACACACACACACACACACACACACACACACACACACACACACACACACACACACACACACACACACACACCTCACACCTCACTCACTCTCTTTGCTCCGCCAGGCAGGCTCCCTCATCACAAGTCTCAGAGTCCGAGCCTTGAGGACAGCTAGTTATGCCTGGAATGTCAGCTCACCTCAATGAGAGTCAGAAACACACACATGAATACACACCTCCGATACCGATGCACACACTTTAAAGACCACACTGCTGCACAACTACAGTCCAGGGTGTCCGCGGGGTCTTAAAAAGTATTAAAAGTTGATAAATCAATTTAGCGAAAATTAAGGCTATTAAAAAGTATTGAACGGCATTTTCCAAGGTATTACATTTTGTAGCTTGTTTTCAAAAAGTATTGTATTCTAGAGTTTGCCTGAATGTAATCATTGCGTAGGTGTGTAGTGTGATTCTGTGTAGTTTATTTATGGCATCCCGTTGGGTTTGACGTCATCTGAACAGGACATCGCACGCTCACTGCTTGATAGCGCGCGAAGGTCCGTTTACGCCGGTTGTTAAACAACATCGTTATGGGGAAATGCAAGTTTGCGTCCAAATGGTTGGAAGATAAGGAGGAAGGACAATCAATACTGAATATAGTAAATGTGAGGTAAAGTGTGTCGCCAATGTAACAGGTTAAAACTCAAAGTGGCGATGAGGTCTTAAAATGTATGGAAAGGGTCTTAAAAAAGGTCTTAAAAGGTATTACATTTGACTTCAGGATTCCTGCATATACCCTGCAGTCACACACACTCCTTTCATTGTGTGTGTGTAGGAGAATACCATTTCATATGAGACATTCCAGTACTATAGTACTGTTTTCCTGAGGCAGTAACAGGATATCCTCCCGCCTGCTCGACACACACTCCTGCACGCACACACGCACACACACACACACACACACACACACACACACACACACACACACACACACACACACACACATTCCTGCACATGCACGCACATACACATCCAGTACACACAATGGGTCAAAGGTAACAAGACAAAAGACTGAGAGTGTACATAGAAGTGAGATTTGGTTCTCACATAATATCATTAAGTAAATACAAATAATTATATTCTCTCTATAACTAGAGACCAGAATGATATAGTTTAAACATGTTGTCTTGAGTTGTTCAGTGTCCATGGCGTAATTTATCTTCATAATTTGGCTAAAGAAAGAATTCCCTTTCGCTGAAGTTAAGCGTTGATAGCCTAGCTTTTGGTTAACAGTTCGATGATTTCTCAAATGAGACACTTTATTGATGCTCTCTTAAAACCGTGAAAGTAGCTAGTTTTTCTCTATCATTCCTTAAATGCCTTTTAGGTTGTTGCTTTTACATTTAAGCTTCCCATTAGCCTCAGCTTTACTTTGTGTTAAGTGCTAACTAGCAAATGTTAGCATGCTAACACACTGCATGTGATTAACATTGGCCAACATCACCTGCTTGGCAGCATCTTTAGCATTGTCATTGTGAGCATGTTAGCATGTTAGCATGTCGATATTAGCATTTAGCTTACACTTCCAAAGTACAGCCAAAAAAAGCAGCTAGCTTTGCAGTTCTTTATTCTACTCTACTATTTATTTCATATTTCTGTGTACAGTTTGTTTCCTGTATACTTTATTCTAATCAAAAGTTGTTTTACTAAATATTCTCCTAGAGTGTACTATCAACAGATTTAAAATAGAAATGTGTGAAGTACTCCTTTAAGAGAATACGTTTAGTCAGATGTATATATATCATGCTCTTCATGACACAGTTAAAGCATGTGACTGAGCCAGAAGGGTCAACAAAATGCCCTCAGGGAATGTTTTTTTTTTCATCAATAGAAACAGGAGACACGAGGATGAGAGGGAGGACTGGGGTGAATGAGCACTAAAGACAAGAACATGCTTTCTAAAGGGAGGCGAGGGAGGATACAGTCGGCCATGTGACTTCCTAGACCGCTGTTTCTTCATTTAACAATTCTAGAAAGGAAATGAGAGGAAAGAAAAGACTCAAATAGGGAGAGAGAGGTTTCAACGGAGGAGAGGATGAGGACCAAGAAAAAAGGGAGAGAATAGCAAGAGCAGTAGAAAAGGGTCGTACAACAATCAAGATTTTAAACTAGCCCTTTAAGTTGATACTGTGTCCTAAATGTGCAACTTGTTTCTGCATAACATATCATGTAGAACAGTAGAAAAGTCCCTGAATATCATCAAATGGCTAGTAATGTGTTCGAGTCCTTCAGTGTACGAGAGGTTACAAAGTAAAGACTTCCTCCTTATGGCTGTGTGTGCTTCAGCTGAACACTGAGCCAATTCACTGAAGTGGTCCTCATTAAATCCCAACGCACACACTCTCACATGTCACAAAGAAGAGGGTCAACAACCCCTCGTGGAAGTAAACACGTCCTCCGAACAGAGGTGTGCTCGGCGCAAGGCAGTAAATCAAGAAGCCAAAAGAGTATTTGTTGGTGGCCTCTGTAGAAACAGAAAGCAGGTCAGTATACACAGGAGTGTGTTACTTGCTAACAGTGGATCTGGAATGTGTTGGATGGATGGTTCACAAAAACAGAAGGTCGCAGGTTTGAACCCCCGCATGCCAACGTGTCCTTTTAACCAGACCCTCGACCCCCGTTTGTACATCTCCTCCCTGGATAAATCACACTGTCAGTGAAATTGCAAGCACAGTTGAGAAGTAAATTAATGTGGCAGTAAAGTATGGGTTATAAATGTGGATTAGTTTAAAACATTATAAATGTGTTTTATAGAATCAGAGCTTGGTTTAAAAAAAGAATTCTGAAATAAGCTGATGATTAATGTAACATCACAGTGTTGCATTAACTGGAAATATTTTATTTATAAGGGTGTGACATTGTGTTCACTGATGATTAAATAAATGTATTACGTAACCATTAACTGTGTTGCACACCCAGAGAAGTGTTTCACTTTTCGTAAAATAAAGTGTATTTGTCCATATGCAATGTTTTGCAATATATTTCATTTCATTTGTGGGGATAGTTTTATTACATTTCTACACCCTATTTCCTCGTCTTGTATCTGCATATCACAATCTGTTCATACGGGCTGTGTGACCAACTCACGAGGGACATTTGAATATTGGAAGATATATTTCTTTCTCTCATAACAACTACTAATAATGTGGCCTTGAGCCGTGCACCTGGCTGAGGTCGGGAAAATACAGGGAGTGAATATGTGAGGAGAGCAAATGTTAAGCCCTCGTTTGATTAAAGTATCTTTAACGCTGCTGAGCATGGAGTAGCTGCCAACTCCTCTGCCAGGGAAACTTCAGACTTAAATGCAGAACTAGTAATATGATAAAGTGTCAAGTGGCATCTGACTCAGATCCTGAAATAAATAATTCTGACACATACTGTTAAGAGAAATGCATAGTTTCTTCCCCTTATCTGCAATAAAATCTCGACAAACATCCCTAACTGTTCTGTTCCTCCAAAAACTGTAAAAATGATGAACTGCCATCCCACCTGCCAGTCTGCCAATTTGTTAAATAAAGTTTTTAGATCAAATGTGAGGCAGGAAGAGTTACAGCGTTTGATTTTTTGGCCAAGTTTCCAGTCCATTGATTCATTCACAGACCAGTGAATGTCTTTGAAAGAGAATACAATAGTCTTCAGCACCATGGAAGATTTGATGGTTATTTTCTGTCATAAAGCAGCAGACTGGGAGTGTTGGTGCCCCCAAGTGGTGGGAGCCTGGTCTAACATAACACAGTTCTACTGCAATGCAGACAGACAGCCTCATGTGCGTGACATGTGTCTGTTTGAGGTGTGTGCGTTTTTTAGAGATCTCTTCCTGAGAAAAAGTACAGGTTCTCTTTAAATGCTTTTTTCAATCACTAAATGAAAGTGATCAGTATCTCTGATGCTCTTGTTTGTTTTGTTTACACAGAAATTGTGGCGGGCAGCCGAAGATGTCAGTGACGCAACACCTAGAGAGCGAGCCCTGAAGAGCGTGAGTTTCCAGGAATCGGTCAGCGTCATCACTGACAGCCCTGCAGCCATGGAGCTGGAGAGCCAGCAGATCCAACATGGCTGCCTCAGCAGCCCCAGCAACAACGCCCATAATGCAATTCCTGACAGCGAGGTGGTGCAGGTATGCTCATTCTCTGAGGTCAAACTCTCAGTTTTTTGTTTTCTTGATTTTTATTCACCATCTTTAAAATGTATTACCTGTGCCGGTCTATCTTGGTCTGGGTGGTATTTCATTAGATGGTTTTGTCGTCAAAATATAACTATGCTGTACATATAATTTAGCAAATACCTTAAGCATAAGTCTGAAACTTAACCGCGTTTAATTTTGTTTTTATGTAGCCTGTCCCAAAGATCTAGACCATAACTCCAGATCAGATATGCCTTTGTCAGAGTTTCATAGGACGATGCCAACATCGCTCTCCCTGATAATTAAGATAAGATGAACATGTTTAGATGACAGAAAAATTACCTGTGGAAAAAGCTGCTTCTCTTGTGTGTTTTTGTGCCAGTAAAACGTTATGTTCTCCATTTCCTGCCGTTATAAAGATGCAATTACTCCAATGTCCACTAATTGTATGTTTATTATCATCTACTCTAGTAAAAGTATCATGATATGCTGTATGGTTACATGGCTCATTATCTCATCTGCATTGTTCACCCTTATGATGATAGTACGAGGAGTTGATGAACATTACAGAACAACCATAGCAATTACATTATCTCCTTCGTCTACAGGAGATCCGTTACTTGGACCAGGTTTTAGACGCCGCCTCCGAAACCCCCACCAACGGAACCTCTTCTCCGTCAGAACACAGCAAGATCATCAGCATCGATGGAAACTCTCCCTCCGTCTGCATGTCAGCCTCCTCCCCCGTCAATCACCATGCAGTGGTGGTGGAGGGTCAGAGAGAAACCACGTTCCTGCACCACGAGGACTCTGCTGTGAGGACCAACGGCCACGTGCAGGGGGGGGAGACGGGGAGCGGCGGGGCCAAGTTTGAGCTGAGAGCGTTTCAGGAGGAGAAGCGACCCGCGAAGCTCTTCACCCCCGGAGAGGAGCAGCAGGTCAGGGTGGCGAGGAGACGACCCTCAGGGGAGGTAAACTGCTGAGAGATTAGGTATCAGCTGGGACAGATACAGCAGACAGACACACAGTAGCAAACACGACACAGCAGTAATGTAAACGTTAATGGAGACCTTGTGTCTAATAATAATAATAATAATAATAAGGACTCATATAAACAATATGTACACAAGAATAAATAAGCATTTCCTTGGATTAGTATTTTTAAAGTCAGGCTTTTTTTGTCAACAAGTCTAAACTGCTTGCTTTGTTATGAGACATTATAAAATGCATGCCAAATGTATGACAGGCGTCAAAATAAATGACTTATACTCAAAACAATTATTGAAAGTATTAATACTCGTGAATGAAAGTTTATTCCTGACTGAAAGTTGACAAAAAAGGCTTTTTCTCTAAGAAGGTTGAAAGAAAAACACAGGTCTAAAACATTCTAAAAATAGTGTTGAGGTAAAAATGAAAAATAAAGTAATATTATTATAGATTTGTTTTAGGTGTTATAAGATCTGACCAAAACCACAGCTTATACTGTACAAATCCACTTAGATCAAACCATAGAAAGAAGACATTACAACCTTAATGGAAGAAGTTTTGAAATGGAAAGGATGTCGTAAGTTAAGACAAGCACATGATGCTAGCAGTGTCAAAAGGTTAGTTGTGGTTCACATTTTAATCAGAGACTATGATGACCAGCAGAGACAGTTTTTAAACCAACAACTGAAAAATTCAAAATGTTCATCCAATTCACCAACTTTTCACATTTCTCTTTTTAAAACAACCTGCTAAATACACTTTTGGTAATGCAATAACAAACACTTATTACATCTCCAACTTTTCTCATATCTTTATCAGCTAATGTCGTTCAAAGCTCTTTATGAATATTATCGCTGTCTTCCTTCCTCAGGTTGAGGAGCTGGAGCGAGAGCGTCAAGAGCTGATCAAAGACCAGGCAGTGAAGAAAAACCCCGGCATCGCCAAGCGCTGGTGGAACCCCCCCCAGGAGGTAGCCTCCCATTTCATCTTTTTATATTTTATTTGACCTCCCTTCACTTTATGACAAACTGACTGATTGTTTTTTTGTTTCGATCATTCATTTATTATAGATTCCTTTGGAAAATCAGCTGGACGCAGAGCAGCTCGAGTCTCTCAAGAAATACCAGGAGAGGAAACAGCAGAAACAGAGTCCCACTTACACACACACACAGGTAACACACACACACACACACACACACACACACACACACACACACACACACACACACACACACACACACACACACACACACACACACACACACACACACACACACACACAGGTAACACACACACACACACACACACACACACACACACACACACACACACAGGTAACACACACACACACACACACACACACACACACACACACACAGGTAACACACACACACACACAGGTAACACACACACACACACAGGTAACACACACACATTATCTATCTTTGTTACATTTTTGTCTCACCTTATCTTTTTATTCTCCTCTCTTCACTGTCCCCCCATCTCGATTTGCAGCCCCAGGTTTCAGGACCTCCCACAATAGTGACCTTTGACCCAGATCTGAATAGGAAGGAGGACATTGTGCTGGAGCAGATCAACTTCTCCTCTGCCAGGAAGCAGTTTCTGCAAGGAGACGCTACCAAGAGGGACGTGGCTCCTTACATGTACTCCGCCAAACCCTTTTCCAAATCCACACCCAGGAGCAGCCAGGGGTTCAGTGACAGTATTGGGGACACCGGGGATAGTCATGTGACCTGGTCTGATGAAGGATACGGAGCAGAGTTTACCTGTGCACGAGCGGTGATGACCATCCTGCCTGACGACGAGGAGGGGAAGAGCCCGTTCCACCCGGGTTTCCACCCCGAGGAGTCTGACTCGGGGTTAGACGAGTTGTCTCTCCGCTCTCAGGACACCACCGTGTTTAGCTCGGATAATGTTTCCGACAGCGGGGCTTCGCTACCGCCGACCCCTCAGCCCCTCACCCCGGTGTCCCCGCCGACGCCCCAGCCCACCACGCCTGTAAACGGGCAGACCAATGGCAGCCCATCAGAATTCGAGCTGGAGTACCAGGCAGGAGTCCTCGTCCAAAACGCCATCCAGAGCGCCCTGTCAGCTCAGGACGGAGATGATTGGCTGCCCTCCGACTTGAATTCTTCACAGCTCAGCGCCCCAGTGTCTCCATCCTCAGCCTCGACAGGAAGCCCCGTGCCAGTGTCTTCCTCCCCTGCGTCCTCAGGTGGAGCTCCTAGTCTCCAGTCACCCATGTCCTCCAGTCCTGCTCCATCCAACCTGTCTCCTCTGCCAGACAGACGTCCAGAAGTAGGGTTTGAGAAGCCTTTAGAGTCAGAACACGCTCTGCAGCAGCTCCAGACGCCTTCTCCCCCTCCCTCTCAGCCCGTCTCCCCCCCACAGAGACCCAAACATGGAGGCCCAAGGATCAAAATCCAATCCTCTTACGCCAGAGCCCTCGCCTCCTCAGCCCCGGCTCCAGCTCCTGCCTCCACAGCCATAGCTGCTCCAGTGTCCCGGCCGACCCCAGTCTACCGTCCCCCTTCTCCCCCAAGCCCGGAGAAACCGGAGTTCAGCTACTTCAGCAAGTACTCGGAGGCGGCCGAGCTGCGGAGCACAGCGGCGGCAGCGAAAGGGCCCCGAGGTGGAGGCGTCCAGTGGGCCGTTCCGCCTGCGCTCCAAGAAGCAGAGGACTCTGTCCATGATCGAAGAGGAGATCCGAGCCGCTCAGCAGAGGGAGGAGGAGCTGAAGAAGCAGAGGGTGGAGCAGCCCGCCGCCAGGGTCCGCCCCGGCAACACGCCTGGCAACGCTCCCAGCAACAATCAGGGTCCCGCGAGGGTGCGGCAAACCAATATCTCCCCAGCAGACAAGATGAAGAGCAACAGCCTGCCAGCTCGACTCACTCTGACAGCGAGGACGGCTCCAGGTGAGTCACTATCAGAAAAAGCAATTGGTAGCTGTTTCAATTATCAATACTTAGTTTTAGTCATTTATGAAGAAAATATTGATTAGAAATACCATATCTTCTCTGATCAAAACCTCTGAAATCAATGGATTAGCTGTTTTTATTGTCGTTTCTCGTTATTAAGATAATATTTTGGGTGATTTTTCGACTCTAAATCCAACAAAACAATTCACTTGAAGATGTTGAATGATTATTTTATTGATAAAACTAATACAATGCAGATTAATTAATAATCCAAAGAATTGTTCTATGCAGCCCTGACTGCATCGCTACACAAAAGTGGTGGACTGAAACTATAAAACAGGAATTTTCTTCATGTTTGTGATTACGTAGAATACTCATGTGTGATGGTGTTTGTTTTAACAAGCCTGTCTTAACTCCATGTTTTTTTTTTCCAGGAAAGATCGAGAAGGTTCGCCCTGCCCCCCCCGTCTCCCCCTCGCCCTCAGAGGGAGCGCTGTCCGACGCCGGCAGCGAGGACTCCGGAGGACGACCCAAAAACTACATGCAGACGCTAATGGAAGACTACGAAACACACAAAGTGAAGAGGAGGGAGAAAATCGATGACAACAGCGTGAGTATCTAACTGAATAAACGTGTAGGAGATCTTGTTGAACATCTAACAACAGAATAACATGGGATAACAATGCCATCATGTATCTCAGGGAGAGACAGTAGCAGACAGTTGAGTGAAAGTTTGTGGTTCAATGGCATTAGATACTTAAATGTCACCATACCTAAATGCTTTCACACATGCCCTGTTGGCATTAGCTAACACTGTACAACACCGAAGGGAATTTCCAAGCCAGTAGCAGGAACTGAAATTGAAAGTAAGTCCCAGACGCCGGGGGATTTCTCTCCTGACTCTTATCGTCTCTCATTCTTTCTATCTGAATGTGTCTTTACATGCCAGGGTGTCCAGCGGTGTGTCATTATCCGGAATAAGGTCTCTCTCTTGAGAAGAAGTATTCAATGTTGGCAGACCACACTGTGCAAACAAAGCTTACTGGCTTGGATGGTGGAAAGAAAAAGTTACATAACCAGAAAATGTCTCAAGCAGCAGTTTCACTTCTCCATCTGTTGGTCCATACACTTCATTTATTCCCAAAACAAGGAAAGATACACCTGTGAGCAACATTACATTATACCAACAAATCATATACCGTAAAGCACACCTATTTATCATGCCTTTTTCAAGATATCTAACAGAATGTATCTTGAACATCCAGCAGGCTTTTTGTTTCCCACTGTTGCAGGTATTGTTTTTCACATGTTGACTCTTTGTACTGTTGCTTCTCTCCTGCTGGTCGCTCAGTATGCCCGTTTGTTGCTGGTCAACGAGGTAACCACTGAGGTACCTGTCTCACTGTTCACTCCTTAACTCACAGACCTGGGTCAGACTCTATTCAAAAGTATTGGAAAAGCAATACATTCCCATTTATATTTGGACTGTTTCTGTAACAATTAAACAGTGGTTAGAGCTGGCGGCCCATACGCTGTGTCCGCTGCCAGGTTTCAGGCAATGTCCTCCCCTCTATCTCTCCCCTTTTAACTCTGTATCTCCAAGTAAAGACAATATATGGCCCAACAATGTTATATAAGAAGAAAAAAGTATCTTATCTCCTTCCATGAGCGTTGTGTTAACTTACGTAGTTCTCAAATACAGACGAGTTCCTAGAGTGGAGATTTCCACTGGGAGCCACTTTCGTATTCCCCATGTAACGTACTGTATACAAGTTTGTAGATGATAAATGTAACGTCACTCATTCGGCCAGATCCTGAAAACAAAGATGGGGATGTATTATTTTAGTTTGAAACCCTGGACCGAGAAGATACTGTGAAGAAAACCTTAAAAGTTTCAAATCTGATCCCAGGTCTGCTTGTGGTCACACTGCATTAGTGTTCTGCTCTGTGGTGTTGGTGCTGCATGTGCTTTTCCATGAATTTGGTGTGACCTTTGACCCCCCCCCAACCCTTGCCCCATGCACTGCTTTTAGCCTCTGTATACAACTTACATTATACAGCCTCAGTTAAAAAAATTAAAATACTAAAATATATACAGTAGTTAAAGGTAGGGTAGGTAAGTTTGAGAAACCGGCTCGAGATACACTTTTTGTTATATTCCATGGAATGCTCTTAACATCCCGATAGCAATGAATATCTGAAGTGCTTTGACAAAAAATCCATTAAAAAAATGTCATCTGTGGAAGCCGTAGTTTTAATAATAATTTAGTGTCCATCATTTTCCACTCATTTCCCCTTCTCCCTGGATTCCTGCGCACAAAACAGTCACTCCTGTGTGGAACGGTGTGCTCATGTGTTAGTCACTGTGTGCTCATGTGTTAGTCACTGTGTGTGTGGTGGTGTGTGTCTTGGCACGAGTGTGTGAGACAGACTGTGATCGGGGATCAAATCCAATGTTGAAGCATGACATTTTCCCCTGAAATGGAGTCAAATAACCTTTGTTTTTACTGTCAAATACTGCAGGTGCGCTTCATTTGGTGGTTTATTAATGACTCCTTTACTGCGGGATGGTTTAACCAAGCGCTCCCTCAGTTTTTGACACACTGCATGCGATGTTAAAGCCACTGTGGTGTGTTTCTTTTGTGATGGTGTTGCCACTTAAAACAATGTTTTAGTAAACAGTGCTTTCGTATATATGATTCTCTGACTGTTGTTTTCTAACTGACAGGTTCTGGAGGCCACTCGCGTCACCAGGAGGAAAAGTGACATGGCGCGGAAATGGGAGGCCGGTATCTACGCTAATGAGGATGGAGAAGGAGAAGAAGAAGAGGAGGAGGAAGAAGAAGAAGAAGAGGAGTAAGCAGAGGAGTAAGCAGCTCCTCCCAGAGACAGTTATAGAACAAGTGGGAAGGACAAGAAGAAGAAAAACGCAGCGAGGAGAAGGGCAAAAGTATTTATTTTACTAAAAGTATTCTTATGATCACATGACCCGTTGGCTCGACCAATGAGGATCATCTAAGAAAAGAAGAATTGAAGGCCAACCGTATGTTAAGAGACTGAGAATGTGAGAGACTTTTAAGGTGTTGAGGCCATTTTGAAAAAGGTCAGTGACGTAAAAGACACTTTGAAAGGGTTTTAAGATGGTTTTAGAGCGATTCAGGATTCAAAGGTTTTAACAGTTAGTAGACGTTGAATGACTTAAATATTCATAGGAATTTCCTGTAATTGTTTTATTGAAAGATGTGCTGAGATCTGAAGATTTTACTTTGACAGGTTGCCTGAGACTTGCTGATGATGTTTTCTTTGCAATGGATGCTTGATAACAACCCAAACCATTTTCACAATGTGTGGGAAAAAAACGAAGAAAAAGAAAGACCATATTTCTGTCATTTCAAAATGATTTCTACCTGGATTTGATGAACCCAACAGGACCTGATGCGTCACATTCAGTAAAGTTTGATATTGAGCATCCTGCAGTGCCACAGTACACCACAGTACAGATGTGAGACACATATGACATGTTTGTAGGAGCTTCTGCAATCACTTGAAGCATCTGTGTTCAATTTAAGTGCCGACTTGACTGTCCTTGGAAATGCTAGCGTGGAAATTAGCTAAACTAGCATCAAGGTTCAACTTTGCCTTAGATCATGAGTAATCGTAGGATGCACGATATGTACAGAGTATGTTATCTTCTCCTATTCTGTATGAAAACAGTTTCAAAAGAGTAAAACACACAGCCGCGTTAGATAGAAAGGAAACACTACTCTTCAGTGACTTCATAAAGAGGGACTGCGGGTCATGTTTGCGTCTCTTCAGTCAGTGTGTATTGATTAAAGGGCTGGGTCGGGGGTTTTGTATTCTAAAAATCACTTATTTTACCTTTACTCGCTACGTCGCTTTGCGGACCCGTGCTTTCAGATGTAAGCAGTTGTTTGATGTATTATACTGAGGTAGGACTGTGTATTGTGAACATGTCTGTAGAGATTCCAGCAGGGCCGTGTATCTACTATCCCTTGCTAGCTGAGGATAAAGTTTGATGATAGACATTTATGGGGAAAAGCGTTTTATAAAAAAGTTTTCATACCGTCAGCCTAGTTTCCAATTTATTTAAGAAGTACTGATTGTGTGCATGAAATGACACTCCTTTTACAACCTGAAACAAGCACACAAACAGGCAAAAAATAACTATCAGTTCAACAGGCTGCAACGGAGTGTCCGTTTTCTATGTTAATACCACAAAAGTTGGAGATTTGTGTGTTGGGGCTGTCAGTTTTTATACTATATATATTGAGAGAATTTCGCAGGACGTCCTGTTTCGTTAAACGACTGAAGAGATTCAGGCTTCTATTTGGGAGGCAACACTGTGGATTGTAAGGGGGTAGAAAGCAAGTTTAAGCAAATCAAAAGCAATCAGAACAATCCCTGCAGCTTGCAGGACTGACTTTAAATGAAAAGTGTTTCAACATGGCTGAAGAAAATGTATTTGTGAACCACTTTAACTGATAGGATTCTACTTTTCAGTCTGTGTTTGCTTGTTTAATGAAGCCTTTTAGATTATTTTCCAGCATTAGGATGTCAGGAGGATGGTGAGAACTTCTTTTTTTTCTCGATCATCTGCTGGCATTTCCTGTTTCAAGTGTCCTTTTGTCTAGACCTTTCTGTGTGCCCACAAACACACTGAATACAAATCTATATCATTAAAACTGAGGTAAACTTGCACAGAAATTCCATAACTGCGGGACATGAACTGTCCATTAATGAATTTCGGTTATATTTATTGGGACAGTCCCATCCTAAGTGCAAATGATCTAACTCTATTTAATTATAATGATGGGAAAAACAGTGCCAGTAACCACCAAGCAGAAGTGTGTGATGTGTCCATTTCCCCCGGAAACAATCACCATACATTGGTTCCAGAAAATCCACCTCTTCCTTGTTTTTCTACACGTGATAATATATAGTGAAAAAAAGTATTTAAAGAGAACCAGTGTCCCTTTTTATGACGGAGGTGTCATTGTGGTGCAGCAGGAAGTGTGTGAATAGTTGCAACGGAGGTACAGTGATGCTGATATGAGGTTTTGCAACCGGTTTAGGCAAATGGTATTATGACGCATTTTTACAAAATAAATATTAGATTTTAGAGATGCTTGAACCCAGATCTTTTCAGGGTTGAATGGCAGAAAACTGATAGTGATGTTTGACATGATAGTTTTACAGTCTCCTATATCTTAGCTTTATTAACAGCACAATTTGAGTTTTAAGCAACAAAAACAAAGGCTTTGTCTCTAGTTTACTGTAGCTGCTGCAACACATACTGTGTTATGTACACACACACACACCAACACCAACCTCATTTCCCCTGAAGAGGTTGAATCAAACCCTAAATCGAGTTCTCACTAAATAACGCTTTTTAAATGGTTACACACAATGCGCTCGCAGAGCAGTTCTATCTGTGATTTATTATTTTTATTATTATGCTTTTGTTGTTTGAGTTCATGGTGCAGAGATGTTTTATTTATCTTTTGAAAATGCTGGTAGTTCCCCTGCAGGAGCGCCCAAGCTTCAGCGTGTGTGTGCGATAAAGCAATCGTATTATACAGTATAACCTCTGTTCCTATGTTAACCACTTGTACGCTCATACTCTGCTTTCTTATTTTATAGGACATGTAAGGCTCACACTTATACACCTACTATACATATTATGAATATTTTCTCATTAAAAACAAAACCTGTACACGTGGGATCTCTGAGTGTTTTATTCTGGTGTTAAACTAAGATGTCATTTGAAACAAAAATAACTAAATGTAGTCAATGTCATTTTTTCTGATTGAGTTTATTTCATGTTTTATCATTGCGGACAGGAAAACTCAAGGAACGTGTGCATCACAGTGATTAAAGGGGCCCTATCATGCAAATGTTCAGGTTCATATTTGTATTTTGTGCCTCTTCTGCAACATGTTTACATGCTTTAATGTTCAAAAGGTCTTTATTTTTCTCATACTGCCTGTGCTGCAGCACCTCTTTTCACCCTCTGTCTGAAACCAGAGCCCAGTCTGCTCTAATTGGTTAGCTCTGTTGTGATCGGTCAACCGCTGAGATGTCCTGCCCTCAGCCTGTCATGTACAAATCATGTTGAAATGCCAGCCAATAGAAACAAGAATGTTATGTAGTGATGTCTCCATGTCCCAGATGGAAACTATAACACAATACAGGAAAGGGAAACCCCATAAAAGCCTAATAGGGCCTCTTTAATTTAAATCCAATAATGAAAACACTATCAAAAAAATAAACTACCAGTCTATTTACTGATTTATATTTTTTCCTGACATGCCACCGAATCCAGAGGTAACATCAGCTTTGATGATTTAACTTTCCTTTGTGTTATTGTTACTTTTTTAAGTGTCGACTTGTTTCTGTTGTGTGGCCATACTGTCATGAACAGAAGCCCAAGAGCTGTCCCAGTGTTTGGTACAATCTCTCACACAGTATACACACGTTCCAGTGTCATCGTCGTGCCTGTGGTAAGAGTCAGAGGAGGAAGTAGGCGTGGGAGATTATTATTTACACCCTCGCTGCTTTTTATTTCAAACACACACACTACTGAGTGAGGCAGGAACAGCATTTACACCAGAGTAACTCCAGCAGCTGCTTTGTGGAAGTGTTCCCACTCATTTTGACTTCCATAAGAGAGTTGTGTGTGAGTGACAGTGTCACCATGGTCCTGCCTGGCTCGTGCCATGCCGCGTTCACGGTCCTCCGGCAGATAGAGTCGGTGGTGGTGCTGGAGCAGCTGGGAAGCAGTCTCTTCGACACGGCCCTGCAGATGGTGGTGAAGGACCGGAGTGTTAACGCCACCTACACCGACGTATCCGAGAAAGACAGCCAGCAGAAGTTCATGACAGACTTCTTCTTGATCTACAACCTCATCATCGGACTGACTCCCATCCTACCGGCCATGTTGCTGGCCAGGTTAGGGGACCGCGGCTGGAGGAAAGCCCCCATCATGCTGCCCCTCAGCGGGTACCTGCTGTCCAGGCTCGCCCTGCTGCTGGTGGTCCTCTTCCGGCTCCCGCTGGAGGTGATGTACGGAGCCGGGGTGGTCTTCGGGCTGTCTGGGGGCTTCTGCGCGTACTGGCCCGGCGTGATGACGCTGGCGTCGCTCGGCTCCACGGCGAAGGACCGATCCAAGGTCAGTATGGCTACTCGGTTAGTGTTACCTTACCTGCTGCACAATAAAGTGTGAAAGTACAACAGAATAAAGTAAAGAAATACTCTGTTACATGCAAAAGTCCTCCTATCAAAATGCTAGGCCTACTTAAGTCAAATTATAATTGTATAAACGTTAGAATATACTTATAGCCTAGTATAAAAAGTATGCTCAACATCCCATTTCAGAATAATTGTGGGACTTTCACTAATTTATTAATAAAGTAAAAATAAAGTTTTATCTTGAACATTCTGAATCTCAGTCTTCAAATGTACTAAAGTATTTTTTTTTAATTTAAATATAGTGGATTAAAATGCCATATTTGCCTCTGAATTGCAGTGGAGTAGGATAGTGTAGCAGTAAATGGAAACACTCAAGTAAATCACAAGAACTGAACTACAACATTTTATTTAACGGCTTTTAACTACGAAATTGTAGTCAAGTAGGCGACAATACTTGAGGAAAGAAGGTCACAAGTAACAGTCCACCACAGAACAAACGTTTTGTGATAAGGGAAATTACAGTATTTTTTAAAGCTGCATTAGACATCGTGATGTGACAAAATATGCACTGTAATGTGAAAGACTTTCCAAAAGCCTAACAATGTCATGTCATTCGTCACCCATTTTGACAAATGCATGTACAGTAGGCTACATTATTGTCATAAATGCAATCAAGAGCAACAGATAATGGCACTAAATAATATTTGTTTAACCATTTATCTGCCAAATACAAAAACAACAATGGACAAATGTACTTTCTTCACAACTGTTCAATGAAGAAATGTTCCTTGTCCCCTGCAGGTGATGATGAGGGTGGAGCTGCTGTACGGGGGGGGCCGGCCTGGTGGGTAGCCTGGTGTCGGGGCACCTCTTCCTGCTCTACAGCTCCAGCACCCAACATGGGTCCATCCTGCTCTCTGTGAGCACTCTGCTGCACCTGCTCTGCCTCTTACACTCCATCACCCTGCTGCAGGTCAGTGTGTGTGTGTGTGTGGTGTGTGTGTGTGTGTGTGTGTGTGTGTGTGTGTGTGTGTGTGTGTGTGTGTGTGTGTGTGTGTGTGTGTGTGTGTGTGTGTGTGTGTGTGTGTGTGTGTGTGTGTGTGTGTGTGTGTGTGTGTGTGTGTGTATGTTTTCCTGTTCGGAAAATGGTTAAATGGTTAATTTGTCAAACATTACAAGACAGCACTAAAGCAGTAATACATGTTATAGACCACAGTTATACTAAGGTTGTTGTTTGTTAGTTTTACTTTTACTTTGCTTCTGGAAAGGTTTGCTAAATACCAAAGCATTGTATTATGTTTAGCCAGAGACTGAGATCACTCACTGTTGTCACCTTGGAAACACATTCTTTGCTGATGATAAACCATCTGACATATTTCCTTGTAAGAATGGAATGAATGGAATAATAGCTGTCAAGTTGTTCAGCCCAACTGAACAACTTGACAGACCTGTTGGAATGGATGGCACAGGTAATACTAGTAGCAGGAATGTTTTTCAGACCTGAAAAATCTTACAAAATAACTCACATAAAATATATTCAACAACAAGGCATTAAATGAGAAGGAAAACCAAAAGATGTTGACTGAAAAGGTGAAGATTCAGCCTTTAATACTAACTATATGAATACTAATAGGCAACCCTTTAACTGATTAGTTTCCCATAAAAAAGAAAATCTGTTAATCTCCGTTCATCAAAATGCTATATACTTTGTAACTAAAAACCCCAGAATACTAATGAATTAGCTCACCCTTGTAAACTCTGTATAGTATTAAGGGGTAACAAAAGATCAAATGAAAAAGTTAAACCACTCATATCGTCATTTTCTCTCCCCGAATTGAGCCTACTTCATCCATTTACATTTCAGGTGAAGCCAGTCCCCATCCCAGAGCCAGAGGACGTCTGCGACCTCCTGCCCCAGGCCCCCGAGGGGGTCCCTGTGGAGGCCCCTGCAGGGAGGAACATGGTGAACGTGGCTCTGCTGTTTGTTGCTGCCATGCTGTACGTCTCCGCAGTGGGGGGGGGCATAGAAATACTGGGCCCCTTTTTGTTGAAAGAGCCACTCAGCTGGAGTGCCACTCAGGTGACATTATTGCTCTCTTTGTATCTCTGTATTAAGGTCTCTTTGTGAATTTGATGGATGTAGTTAGATGAAAATAATAGAGTAAAACAGATTATACTAGCTGAAATTATATAAATACTTGCAGCTGTCAACTTTCACCTTTTAAATAGACTGGAAAATTGTGAAATATTGGTTTCACTTACTTAGTATGCATGTAACGCTTTGTAATTGTAACTTATTGTAATGTAACGCTGCATAAAGTAAAATCATGATTAAACAGTTTGTTTTTATGTACAGTATAATGAATATTCATTTTATTTTGTCTCACTTGTAATTGATCCCTTCATTTTTCCTTTCTTCCAATGTTTTATTCTCTTTGACCTTATTTCCCTTCTCTCTCGTCCCCAGGTGGGTTATGGGAACGCAGCGGGCTGCACCATCTTCCTGACCAGCTTCCTGGGCGTCATGGTGTTTCGCCGCTGCGTCAGCGACACGTCTCTCATCCTGATCGGCATGCTGTCGTTCGCATCGGGAATTTACTTCATGTCCTTCGTCACGGCAACCTACATGTTCTACCTGGGTGAGACTCAGACACAGTTTGTGCTCCATCCTGACTAATGGACATTTTAACTTCGAAAAAAAAGTTGATGCAGATTGTAGTTCAGGCCATGTTTTATTTTTTCCGTTTTTTGCCTTACGCCCCGGGATAAGCAAAATATTGGACCACCAATATCAATTTATCTGTTTATTAAAAATAATGAAAAAGTCCTTTGACATTGACACAATGGTTAAAAAGGTTATTCTTAATAAGAATATCAGGTTTAGTTTTTCATTTTGCAAAAAACAACTATGTTTTTGTTGCTATTTCTGCATTCAATTTGGAATTTGGAAGTATGAATATTGAATGTAATTGGGGAACTGATTCTTTGTTATCTGTTCTGACAGATCTCTGTTATCAGCACAAATTCTGAAATGTAGGAACCAATTTGGGGAATTGAGACTATAGTATGTCATAAAAAATATCATTATGTTGTATGCCAGATAAAGTGCCATAAAAATGTCTTCTTAATGATATCATAGAAAATGTCATAAATGAGTTATAACTTTGCTCTTAGGCCATGACAAATATGGGAAAGGACACAATAAAGTAAGGTATTTATTATCAGGAAGCAAACTAATAAAGAAGTAGCTACCAATATGAGATGTATAAATCAGAACCATCAGTGATGTTCATGCAGAAACCAAAGACAAAGCCAAACAGGTAGGTGAATGTACACCTCAAACGTGTCACAAAAAAGTTGCAGTAAATGTGATGCCATAAAAGATATGTAATATAAAAGTTCACAGTATAGAATAACATCAAAAATATTTAAAAAAATCTTGGTATAGTTTGCAAACAAGGTAATGAAAAATGTCATATAGTATGAAATAAGCCATAATTAAAGCCAGTAGTGATTTATATTCAAACATATTGGGTCAAACTGATTGTTAGGTGACATTGGTGAGATCCTACAGGTATAGATAATAATAGCCGGTGATGGTGTGTACAAAATGATGTTGTGGAGGTATTTACAGGAACATAACATTCAGTTCTGATGTCTCCTCAGCCCGCTCACTCACCCTATTCGCCCTCATCCCGATGCCCATCATCAGATCTCTGCTCTCACAGCAGGTCCCTGCATCCTCCTGTGGTGAGTGTGCAACAAGGGTGTGTGTGTGTGTGTGTGTGTGTGTGTGTGTGTGTGTGTGTGTGTGTGTGTGTGTGTGTGTGTGTGTGTGTGTGTGTGTGTGTGTGTGTGTGGTATCAGTAGTTCTAATCAAACATCAGACCGTGTTAAAACAAGGAAGTTGAGGAAGAAGGATTACAACATTACAGTTCCTAAAAATTGAGTTTGCAGTCTGAAGTTCATGGGCAGGTCAGGAAGAAACTCCCTTACTGACGCTCCGACTGCTACAGTTATTATATATCAGCGTACAGACAGTAATAACCCCTCATGCAGCATGTAGACAGGTATGTAAACAGGGAGGAGTGGTGCATACTGAAAACACTCACGCTGGTCTGTGCCAAAAAGATGACGCGTGGTGAAGAGCATGTTCTGTGGCCAGTCAGAGTCATGCTTCTTCTTTCTGACACACACACACACACACACACGCACACACACACACACACACACACACACACACACACACACACACACAGAACAGCAGGGTTATTCATTGTCAGGGATTTTCCTCTTGTGTTTGCTTTGTTTGATAAGTCAGTGCAAAGCAAACAGCAGCAACATCAACCCCTTTTCTGTCTACGTGCCAACAAGTGCATATACAAGGAAATATAAAATAACGATGTTTACAGTCTTTCTGCTAATCTGAGATTACAGTGTTTTATATATATAGTTGAGAGTGGTATTAGAAAGCAAATACATTTAATTCCCCAAAAGTATTCCTTTAAAGAGATCCCTCTAAGATTAGCTTATCCCAAAAGAAAAGGATATGTGTGTGTTTCCCTCCCTAATGTATTTACTGTATCTGTGCTTTGCCCTGTCTCTCCTCCTTCCCATCAGGCACCGCTCTCACCTCCCTGCAGCTGGCTCTGAAGTTTGCCAGCCTGGCCTACCTCCCGGCCTTCACTAAGATCTACCAGCGGACCCTGGACTGGTTCCCAGGCTTCGTCTTCACGCTGTCCAGCATCATCACCGTGCTGGGGATGATACCAATATGGTGAGAGGGGGGTCATATGCTGTTGCCGGGAGTGATACCCTCAATGCCTGGGATCAATATTTGTTTGGAGCATTTTTCAGCCAAATGTCTTAGGGTTTCAGGGTTTCAACTGTATGAAAACAAGATAAGTTTGATACAAAAAAATGAAGATTATTTTCTCATGCGTTACTTACAATGTGACTTTCTTTATGGTCCTTTTTGTTTGAATTATACCATGTGACCCTACGTTTGATTACATTTCTACCTCATTTATGGACATTTCTATTCGTTGTTTTATGTTTTTGACCATAGATGAATGCATTTGGTCCTTTGATATTACCAGAGGTGGGAAGTAACTAAGTACATTTACTCAAGAACTGTACTTAAGTAAAAATGTTGAGGTACTTTACTTGAGTATTTCAATTTTCTGTTAGTTTGTATTTCTACTCCACTACAATTCAGAGGTAAATCATGTACTTTTACTCCACTACATTTATTTAATACCTTTAGTTACTTTACAGATTTGGATTAATGATATGAAATATAATCAACTCTTAAATGAGCCTTTAGTTCCACCTGGAGTAAATTCACAAGCTACCCTGCAGTATACAAAGTCATTCAAACTAGCTGCACCTTTACCAGCTTTGATAACACTTTAATGATCAATCATTATAAAACATATCATATATATTATTCTGAAATGGACCCATCTGAATAGTGAGTACTTTGACTTTTGGTACTTTAAGTATATTCTGATGCTAATACTTTTGTACTTTTACTTGAGTAACATTTTGATTGCAGGACTTTTACTTGTAAGAGTATTCCTACACTCTGGCACTTCTACTTTTACTCAAGTACAACATCTGAGTACCTTTCCCACCTCTGGATATTATTGCAGGGATGAGTTGAGAGGAAAAAATGAGTGTATTCCCTGTCAACAACTCTTTTATTTGAGGCTCCAAACTGGTTCACCTCGAAACAACAATAGTGAAATCTACTTCAAAGATAACAAGTTTGATGCCACTCCCACCTGTCCACTTAGATAAGGCCATTATTTATTTATTTACCTTAAATCTTATGTAGATACCTTTAAGAAAAGATACGATTGAAATACATCAAGGGTATATAGGGTTAATCTACAGTATTGTTGTTACATGATATATGTCTCCTGCTGATGTACAAACTTGTTTATCCTGCTTTGAAGACTCACACACCTTGTTTTCTCACCATAATATTTCCTCTCTTCTCCCTCCAGTGTCATCGGCTGCAGATCTCCTAAAACGCAACGGTACGAAACAATCCAAGGGGACTGAGGCCCCCCCGTCCCCCCGTCAGCCGTGAGCTAGCATCAGTACGAGTAAGACAGCAGCAGAGACAGGAAATGGGCAGAAAGCAGAATGGTGCCTTTAATGTAATTTCCTATTGTGGTGAAACTTTAGACATGTAGTAGAGGAGATCCTACAGGCGGATCATTCAGTAGCATTCATGTTTATATTCTATTTTTGTACTCCTATGCAGACCTTTATATGAACAAATACGTATTTTAGAATTGGTTTTGACAAATGTCATAAACAGAATTTTAGTGACATTTTTATAAATTAAAGTCATCTCTACAGCAACACCAACAAGGGGATTTTACCACAATGTAAATATGTCATTGAATGTGTCCAACGTTTTTAGGGTTATTTTTTCTACTGCTTTGAGGTTAGGGTTAGGGTTATAAACATATCAAATTTAGAAATGTGTTTTTGAATAGCCACTCAAGTCTCTGTGTGTGTGTGTGTGTGTGTGTGTGTGTGTGTGTGTGTGTGTGTGTGTGTGTGTGTGTGTGTGTGTGTGTGTGTGTGTGTGTGTGTGTGTGTGTGTGTGTGTGTGTGTGTCCTGTAATTGTGCTTGATTTTTACTTGTGTTGGATTGAATGAAAGAACCTGCATAATTGTTTTATGTTATGCATTAATTTATGATTGCACTATTAATTGTTTACACTTAACAAGGCACAAACACACAAAGGCTCCTGTCAATAACTTTAAATAGGTTTAAATAAGTTTATTACAGCCAAGGTACAGTTCCTGTTGGGGTTGAAACAGAGGACATTTGCACTGATGAGACTTAAAATTGCAACTCTGGTACAGTATTTTGTTTTTGATAACAATGTTAAAGGTTTATCTGAAGTTTTTTATGTGATTTGTTGATATGGAACCAACTGTTGTGAAATTCACTCTAATTCTGCCAATAAAGTTGTTTTGAACATTCAAGTATATGACAGTCTATAGTTCTTCTTCTTTAAGACATATTATAGTTATAATTACCTTTTTTATTTTTAATAACATATTTTACTATGACTTTTATATAATTATTTTCACTTACAACAACCTTTTATGATTAAAACCTACTTCACTATGACTATTTTAGGTATGCTATATTTTGTGATTTCTATGATTCAGTTTTATTTGCGTGCATTTACAATACATTTTATTTTTTGAGATCAAAGTGAATATTACAAAAGACAAAATAAAAAGAAACCTGAGCAGTCGAGTATCAAACGCATTCTTTCTTTTTATTGTTGGTCCAATATATCCAAAACAATCATTTGAGGTAAAGATAAATTGCATCACGGACCCAAAATTCTAATCAGCACCTAAAGTCTGAAATAAATGATATTATGATATTACGAATCTCTTTAAAAAACAGAATAAATATTGACATGTGTTGGGAAAATACACTTTTTGTAGTGCAATTAAATGGAAAAAAGTTCAAATCGGCGTGTTTGTAAATAGTTTTTGGAAGATGCCTGGCCTGGTCATCATTGGTGGGATTTTTTCACTACTTTATGTTGAGGGTAATGAACTAGCAGTAAAGCAAAGGGGACAGAGAAAAATAAGGACATTTAAATGATCAACAATTTCAGGAGAAGCGATAAACGATCATGACTAAGTCAAGCAGGTTCAGCAAATAATGTTAGACATTGACGTATTATATTACATCTCAGAGTGGATTTTAAGGCATCAGCAACATTTGGAGAAGAGACAAAGTGTGACGCTGCTGAATCTGAAAAAGACTAAATGTTTCCCATGAGTCAGAGCTGAGCCACTCTTCACAATCAGAACCAAAGAGCACATCATTTCCACATTACAGTTTTTAAAGCAGAGGAAGCAGTTTTTGCAATGTCTGGCTCTGATTTCCCAAACTCCTCTGAGTGCTGCTTGATCTTTCCCTCTGGTGTTAATACGACACAGATTGACCAGAAGCCTCAGTGCTGCTGGTTCTTCTGAATCAGTGCTTGGATTGGAATAAAAAAGGTGCCAGTACTCTAAATCAGCAACTGTTTCAAGTCAATTTATTTATACAGCCCAAAAACAAGTATTTGGCTCAAAGTCACATAGTATCCTATGCTGGTGGGTTTGTCTCTTTACTGTATATTTTAGAAAGGCTCACTGTACTTAAACAAAATGACTCAGGGTGCATCTGAGATTAGAGGGGGTGCAGTGGTAAAGTGCTACATTTATAAGTGGGGAGTGGACCTGACACCCTCTGGGGGGTCCGGGGGCATGCTCCCCCGGTAAGATTTTTTTTAAATATTGAAGTTAAATGCATCAATCTGGTGCACTTTGAGAGCAAAATGAAGAGATATATGGATACATCTGAACATCCATATGAAACAGAACTGTAAACAGATTTAATTTTTCTTTATGGATATAAACGAAAGTAAAGCCTGACTCCTACTGGCGGCTGGTTAAATGACTCCTCGTCCCTGAGGACACTCATCTTTCAGCACAAAAGGAGAGAGGGAATCAATGAGAGACGGGAGAAGGCTCTGTGGGAGCTAGTGCTACAGAACTTGGAGCAGGAGGCTCGACCAGAGAAGGCTCCCCGTCAGACAACATTTCTAACACAGGCACAGCATTTCTGTATTAGCAGTCGGCTCCTTGTCCGGCGACAACCGGCGGCATCTCATGACGCATGACGCATCTAGGTGCATCTACGCTGGGCATATTTGTTGTCATGCGTCATGCCGGCGGCTGAGTACCGGCATCTTACTGGCCGTTTCTCAATCGCGAGGATGCTGGCTTGGTAGCACAGCCGAGCCGAGCATCTTGCTTCAGAAGCAAGGCAAGAATACTTCCTGCTATTCGGAAAACGAAGAGTGGAACAGGCTAGCAAGTGTGCAGGTGTGCATCATATGAGCGGCCCCGCCTTACATCTTCCGCCACAGATTTGGGGAAATTGGTCCATGCGCAAAGCATTGTGGGGATTTTAAGGACGCGAAGTCTACCCATGTGGCACCTTGCCGGTACTCAGTAAGAAGTGCCGGTACCACATGGGTAAAATCAGAAGTGCCGGTAACCGGCCCAATTCAAGCACTGCTCTGAATGCCAGAAGTGTCAGCATTTTTGAGAAATTCACCAATGGAAACTTGAACAGAAGTCGGTCGACAGTTTTAAACTCTCCTCCAAAAGGTTATTTCTGATCATTTCCAGACATTTGTTACGTCACTCTCCAGCCCCATCATGTTCCCAATGCAAAACGTTCTCTAAACGAGTCTCTGTGGCAGGTGGTTCTGAGAAAATTATATTTCATTTGAAAAGTTTTACAAAAAAGTTGACCCCTTTGTTTGAATAGAATAAATTACACCGTTAGTCCCTCCCGAAAAAGAGCCTAATCGGGGACCTTTAAAATAATGAAACACTTTATCATCCTACCCACCAGGTGGTGCTGCTGCGCTGCTCTCACAACAAATCTGCAGTGTGTCTGTGCTTAAAAACACAAAATGACCTCCAACAAAATCACTTTCCTGATAAAGCTAAACATCGATGTATGTTAATGTATGTAAGGATGTAGATTAATCATAATTCCTATAGTTTCCCTTTCAAAAATTAGCAGTGCTTTTTCCAAAATTGCCTCTCTTATCTTGCTACACTTCCTGCTATTTCTCCGACCGTAAATCGAACACACAGCTGAGTAGGAAATCGTTTATGCCTAGATAATAATAATAAAATGTATGCGTTTCCAAAACTAAAAGTTTATGGGCTGAAACATGCATACACATAACATGTGTGGCCCTTTAAATAAAGGATGTTGGATTGTAATTTATAGACAATATGATGCCTTTAAGAGATGAGAGTCTTTTTTCACTGTTGTATTTCAGAAGCTTTTACAACCTGACAAATCTTGGGGACGCTCTGTATACTTCATGTTTTACCATTTAATCTGATTTCTGCAACGCTGAAGAGTTATCCTTCACATTTGGCAATGTGAAAATGGGGAAACAGACAGAGAATGGCTCAGTGAGACACCGAGTTAAATAAACACAGGTAACCCAGATAGCAAGCGGATGTGGCCCACTTCAGGCAATGATGCGGCACTGCTGGCCTTCTTCTGGCCCGGACCAAATGGATGTGTGCCTAAAGTGGCCCACTTGTAAAATAGCAAATATGGCCCACATATCCCAAAGCAAATGTGGGCCTTTTTTGGCAAAGATGCGGTGCTCCTGCAATGTGTAATCTGGATGTCACCCTAAAGTGGCCCATGTGGGAAATGGTGAATGTGGCCCAAATATCACAAAACAACTGTGGGTCACCTTTGGCAAAGATGTGGCAGAATGGACAAAGGCTAATCTGGGTGTAAACCAAAAGTGGCCCATATATGATGAAGCAAATGTGGCCCAGTTATCTTAAAACATATCTGGGCCAGTTTAGGCAAAGATGCGGCACAGTAATCCGGATGTGAACCTAAAGTGGCCCACATTTGACATGAAAAATATGGCCCAAATATTAAAAAACAGACGTGGGCCACTTGTGGTAAGGATGCAGCACAATTGGTACCGGCAAATCTTGATATGAGCCTGAAGTGGCCCACAACTGATGCAGCAAATGTGGCCCGGTTATCTTAAAACATATCTGGGCCACTTTTGGTAAATATACGGCACACTTTTGGCGAGGATGCAACACTTTTGGCACAGGCTAATCTAGATGTGAGCCTGAAAAGGCCTACATGTGACATATAGTATAAATTGTGGATTGGACTGCCGTGTGATCCGAGATAGGGTTAGGGTAGGGGTCAGCAACCTTTACTATCTTAAGAGCCAATCTGCCCTCACTTCCATCAAATAAATGTTGTCTGGAGCCGCAAAACATATTTATACTACACTATACTTCATACTATATGTACAAAAACTAAAGTTTGTTGCATTTATAAAATTATAGAACGACTATAAAGAGAACTCTTGACATGTGTGTATTTACCCGTTAAAACCACAGTCTATGGTTAAAACAAATCAAATCAACAAACTCTTATGAAAAGAAAGTTTGCAATAAATTATACACTTTCCAGAACTTTCTGCATATTTGTGAAATATTAATAATAATTAATTTAATATTAATTAATAATCACTTACAAAAGTATCAAACTTATTTTACTGAGACTTTTCTTATTCTTAGTAAGTAAAGAGAAACATTAATCCAGGGTTAGCTCACTGAGCCGCTCTGGAGACAGATGTGACGTGTATTTCACTCATCGTAGGCCGGATACTCAAACTCTTTTTTACTTTCAGTGTCACAGTATCACCTAGATGTTTGGATTAAAACCCAAACCACTGTGGCTAACATGGTACGTGCTATATGTGTAAGCAAACACACGGAGATAATGTAATGTGAATCTCGCAATCTTTGACCCCAGGTCAGTGACCATTATTGTTTTGGGGGGGGCTTTAATGTGCTTCTCAATGGCAATCTTGTTTTTATTAATATACAGTTGCTCTTGCATATGCTATAGTCAGTTGACTTACTATGTTTTATATTGTGTAAGTGAAGTGTCTGAGTGATTAGGTTCAGACTTGTGAAGTTCACTGTTTTATGGTCTTGATCTTTGAATGTATATTTGGTTGAGATAATTTGGAGTTGCTGTATGTGCAACACTTGATTGCAAATGTCTTCTTGGGACAATAAACTGTGCCATATAATATGGTATCAACGAGCCAAACTGGGTGCTAACAGGCCATGTGTGATCTAACTTCTAGATTGCTCCACAAGTGTGGGTTGGAAGTGCGGGAAGCAGGGGATTAAAATGCAGTCAGACAGGCAGACTGAAGCAGTGCAATGTTTCATTGTAAATTAGTTTACGGCAGATGCAAGTAGGCAAACAGGCAGGCAGGTGAACGGGTAACGGGTAGATAGACAATATGCAGGGAGGTAAGCAGGTTCTGGTCCAGGATCGGGTGACAGAAGTTCAAAAGCAAAAACTCAAGACAGCTATATAGCAGCTGGAATGAAATGACAAAGAAAAAAGGATCTTGACCGGTACATGTAGTGAGTGGCTGATGAGAGAAGTGAGAAAAGGTGAGCAGGGGAATGATGAAGTCTGGTGAAAAAGTCTGAGGGCATCAGATCGCTCGAGGATGGCAGGTCTAGGGAGAAAGTTCATGGCCTGGGAGGTGAGCAGGGGCTTGAGACAGGGACAGATCGTAAAGCAGAGGGCAGGGGATGAGAGAGTGTGGCTGGAGGAAGGGACTTGGAGGCAAACTGTGACAATTTTTTGATCCTGAGGGTGACATTCTAACACCAATAAATACAAAATAAAACAATGTTTTAATTTGTCTTACATTTGGGTTAAATATTGTCATTTAAATAACTATTATCATTTTTATTAATAATGAATAACAATACATTTCTTAAAGAAAACAGTTATTAATATGTTTTTCTGACATTAACTTTTTCATCCCATATTTAAACTATGCTGCATTCGTGGGAACTAGGAAGTCCCCCTTTTGAGTTGGAAAAAGCCGATGAATAGCCTTCAAGTTCTTTGTTAGAAATACAGATTTATTTTCTTTTTTTGTTCAAATCAAATCAAATATTTTCAATACTACTATGGGTCTTAAGCCCTATTGTATTTGTAGTTGTATCTTCTTGTTGTCTTGTGGTTATGTATCCGTGGGAATTAGTATAACTTCAAGTTGGAGTTTTCCCATTTCCGGGGTCTTTTGAACGCAGCATATCTGACTTGAAGCAAGCGCGAAAAAAAAGCGCCATAGAGACCGAAGTCAGTTGGAAGGATTGTCGGTGGAAAACTGTGCAAAAGTGGAGTCGCGGTAAGTTTTAAATGAAATGATAAACATGACTTTCTGCTGGCAATCGGTATTTTACTAATCTATATGCTCAGTGGAGCTAACTCCAGTTAAGCTAATATTCTCAGTTGGAGCTAACTCCAGTCAAGCTAATATTCTCAGTTGGAGCTAACTCCAGTTAAGCTAATATTCTCAGTTGCAGCTAACTCCAGTCAAGCTAATATTCTCAGTTGGAGCTAACTCCAGTTAAGCTAATATTCTCAGTTGGAGCTAACTCCAGATCTTTAAGCTAATATTCTCAGTTGCAGCTAACTCCAGTTAAGATAATATTCTCAGTTGTTATGCCGTGATATTTGCTACAAACTGAAAATCCAACAGGTAGCCTACTGAAGTAAAGAGAGTCCCTTAACACTGGAATCGTTTTTTTTATCCCCCAGCAATATCTGACTTGAAGCAAATAAGCGCGAAAAAAAGGCGCCCTCAAGAAAAAGTCAGTTGGAAGGATTGTCGGTAGAAAACTGCAAAAGCCGAGTCGCGGTAAGTTTTAAATTAAATGATAAATATGACTTTATGCTGGCAATCGGTATCACTAAGCTATATTCTCATTCTCAGTTGGAGCTAACTCCAGTTAAGCTAATATTCTCAGTTGGAGCTAACTCCAGTTAAGATAATATTCTCAGTTGTTATGCCGTGATATTTGCTACAAACTGAAAATCCAACAGGTAGCCTACTGAAGTAAAGAGAGTCCCTTAACACTACAATAATTGTTTATCCCCCAGAAATATGTGTAATTCTGTGAATGTAAAACCCACACACCTCAAACTTTAATTATTCCTGTGTTATTTTCCAAATATAATGTACACTTTTTAATATTGTAGTTAATCTCCTGTTAGCAGTTTGTTTAAATGTATCAGTCATGTTGTTTTTTGTTTGTAGAAGCGCACCATTTATTGACTTGTTGTAAAAACGAATCGGAACTGAACTTGATCACAATAATAGATACAATTCATACCAATTTTGGGAGGGAGTAAGGCATCACATGTTTTTATGTGTAGGAAGTTGTTAAATTATAGCAAAAACCCTGTTACACATTTTGTTTTTGTCTTGTAATTTGTTTGTATCATGATGTTTTTTAACTTAACAGTAATATTCACACTATGTTACAGAAATTTGAAGGTGGACAGAAAATAGTGGTAGAGTGGCAAGTGCACTATCACCATTAAGGTAAGCTGCTTCCATGTGATACATTTCGCTAAACTATATGAAGTATCAATGTTAATATGTTATCAATGTTGTTTCTTCTTTCTTTTTCAGAGTAACTAAAATGTGTATAAATAATTATTAGTTTAGAAATTACGATTTACAATAGGTTGTGAATTTTATCTTTATGAGATTGTTTCCTTTTAATATTTTTTTGAGTAATGTTTCTAGTGGGAACACTTTCCCGTTGCACATCGTTTTGTACTTCCTGTATGTCATTTCCGCTTTCCACTCACACTGACGTGAGCAGTGCACTACTGAGGGTAGTCTGTGCTAGGAATTGTGTCACAGTTTATTACAATTGTGTGTGGTAAACCGGCTATTCAAGTTGATGAAAGTGATGTATGTTGTTAAGTGTCAATTTGGGTACATTATTAACCCGTTTTTGTTAAGTTTCCACCGTAAGAAATTGTATTTTGAGTGATATTTACAGTGTGGTTTTGGCGGGAAATAGACGCGATCTGCGTCATTTTCTTTGTGTCAACACTTTCTGACTTTTCTTTATTTTATTTTGTAAAGATGTGCAACGCGGATGTAAAGGACATTTTGTGTTTGTATTTTGTGTGATTACTTAAAAATAAGATTTTCTTGGTCATTTCATAATTTCTCAAATTGTATAAATAAGCTAGTATGTATAAATAAATACAAGAGACACTGAAGTGAGCACTGCTGAGGATGAGCAACACTGATGTAAAGGACATTTTGTGTTTGTTCCCAGAATAAATGCCAGAAAACACACTCAGATGCTTCGCTGTCGTTTCCTGATCGATAACTAGTCTCTTACAGTTGTGACCCGTTACACAAAGACAACAAGGACATGGGTAAGTGTAAATATTACAGTGTACTGAAAATGAACAATAGGTTTATTGATATATTTTTTTTTATCGATAGTCATGATCTTTTTCTTTGGACAAAATAGACTCCATTAGCAAACTGTGTTAACGTGTTTTATGTGTAAACGTTATTTTGGTGTGTAAAAGTGAGATTACATGTGTAGATGATTCAAATAATCATTTATTCGTCCCACAACGGAGACATTTACAGTGGCTATAGACATGTTTTTGCCATCGATTATTTTATCATACTGTTCTGTACAGATGAGGCTTTGTCATAAATGTATTTATATGTGTGCCTGTGATTATTTTACCGTCCTGTACAGATGAGACTTTGTTATCAGATGTATGTATATGTGTGTCAGTGATTTTATACTGAATGTAAAGTAACTGGAAATACCTGTGAGAGAGAGAGAGAGAGAGACTCCCGTCCAACCTCCCAAACTTTCTTTTTATGTGTGCATTGTTATTTGTGCTTGAGCAACATTTTACTTGAGCTTTATTTCAATGAAATTAGTTGTAATTATTGTCCTACATTTAAATTTGTTTATCCAGCAGCCAGAACATCCATCTGTGCCTGCCCCCAGGTCAACATCTACCATGGCTCAAGGGCCTTCACCAGAGCCATCACCACCAAGGACCAGAGGACCAGCATCACTACAGCTGCCACCACGTCAAGATCTACCGTGGCTCAAGGGCCTTCACCAGAGCCATCACCACCAAGGACCAGAGGACCAGCATCACTACAGCTGCCTCCACCTCCATCTGTGGCTGCCACCACGTCAAGATCTACCGTGGCTCAAGGGCCTTCACCAGAGCCATCACCACAAAGGACCAGAGGATCAGCATCACTACAGCTGCCTCCACCTCCATCTGTGGCTGCCACCACGTCAAGATACACCTCAGCACAAAGGCTCCACCACAGCCATCACCATCAACCCAGCCAGCGTGGAGGTCTCGTATAGCACTTGTACCCCCCCACCTACACAGCAGCCCATGCACCATCACCCCCACCTATACACAGACCCACTGTCTTGGAAGACAGACAAAGACCTTGTGTAATTCAAATATTTCACTACTTTTGTGATCCTAAGACTTTGGTAACCACATCTAAAACACCAAAAAAATTGGATGAAATTGGTAAATTTGTGTTTTCACAAGAGTTTTGAAGATTTTCCGAAAATCGGATGTCAAATGTTAAGCTTTAGAGCTACTTATCTCATCACACAGTGCTTTAAGGTGAGTAATTTGCATTTATAGCAAGACCAAAGATTGTCCTGCACATTTTGATACGTAACACATGGGGTGTTACATTTAAAAGGTGATTTAAGGAAACATCTAAGAATCGAAAATACCCTTAGACTCTAGGTTATGGCGACAATTTCCTCTTTAAATTCATCATTGTTGGACCACAAGTTTGGTTCTCGGTACAGTTCCGTTTGGAGCTCATCCCGGTGTTTACAGAGGACAAGGTTCTGCTTTTCCATGGTTCTCCTTACAGTATTCAGGTTTGCTTGGTCCTTTTTCAGCAGATCTTTCCTCAAGAGTCGCTCTTTGAAATCCTGATTTGTCCGACTCAAACATTTGTTTTCTTCGTCCAATATCACCACTTGTTGCCTTGTTAATCTGAAGTTTTCCGCCAGGAACTTAGAAACGGGCCCTTTCACAGCGTAGGGTATCACCTGCTGAACTGAACACTGTCGCTTGGCACGCTGCTTCCCTGAACACAAAGGTACTTGGTTGCCATATGAGACAGCATTGGTTGGAGGTTTGATGTGTTGCCACCTTTCCCAGAAATAAACTTCTTGCAGTGGTTACAGACCCCACCATTCAGACTGGCAGTCATATGCAAATCTAAAGTGACTCGTTTGCGGAGTTTCACTGCGAAATTGACATCGTACTTCCGACGGTTTGGGCGTGAGTTTAAGGATATTACGCCTCATTTTTATTTATTTTAAAAGTATCGAAAACCGGATCTGATTTCGCTACGGTATACCGTAGCCGCCAGTAACCGGTATTTCGGTAATACCGGGAACCGGTATGCACCCCTAATTAATAACACATTTTATTTATAGTGTCTTTCTGAGCTCTGAGGTCTTTCTTCAGTGCGGCTTGTTCTCCTGGAGTGAATCCAGAGCTATGTCCAGGGTCCTCCCCGGCAGAGACTCTCTCACTTCCCGGATCTGGTGTTGGAGCCGTGACTCTTCTTGGAGCAAGCGTGTCCAGGGTCTTCTGCAGATCTTTGATCTCGATTTGCAGAACTTTCTTCTCTGAGTTCATGACCTTCAGAGACAGAAACAGATCAGGTTTATTACCAGGTACACGTACGAGGAATTTGACTTGATGTCGGGTGCATACATAAAAGTAAAACAACAATTAAAAACACAGATATAGAACTATTTTAAGAAAACTACAGTGAAATCTAGCAGTATTTACCTTTTGATACACCTCTAAAACACTGAGTTTTGAGGTCTTTACTGATTCGCTCGATGATGGCTTTTTTCCTCATCTTTACGACGACCATTTCTTCTTTAATTTCATCCCATTTGGACCACGAGTGTTGCCCTCGGTCCAGTTGCCTTTGGAACTCATCCCGGTTTTTACAGAGGACAAGGTTCTGCTTTTCCATGGTTCTCCTTACAGTATCCAGGTTTGCTTGGTCCTTTTTCAGCAGATCTTTCCCCAAGAGTCACTCTTTGAAATCCTGAATTGTCCGACTCAAACATTTGTTGTTTTCGTCAACTATCGCCACTTGTTGCCTTGCTAATCTGAAGTTTTCCGCCAGGAACTTCACCTCTTCCTGTAGAAACTGAAGATCGGTAGACATTTCCATCGGAGGAGACGCCTGATCAGTGTCACTCATGCATACTTGCTACTTGCCAACCTTCTTCTTCTTCTCCTCGAGATCGGGAGAAATTAAAAACCACCGTGGGGGGGGGGGAATCGCCGGAGCTGTTAGAACTGTTAGCACCGGAGCCTCGCAGCGGGGAAACTGACTTTTAAAGATGAAAAGAACATCTACACATGCTTGTAGTTGTAAGCATACTTGCCAACCTCAGAAATCGGGAGCATTTCCAAAACCACCGCGGGGGGGGGTGCTAGTGGATCGCCGGAGCTGTATTAGATTAACATTGTCATGCTTATTGTAGTTGCGGCCTGTAGCACCATATGTGTGGGCTGAACCTGTATTTTACAGGAAGGGAGTGAGCAGAGGGTAGAATTGTCGATTCTTGTTCTGTTTGCTGTGACTATCTTCCAGACTTTCAGTTGAGCACGCTACGCTACCATGGAAACCAAACAATGGTGTAGCTGTATTAAAGTCCGAGTGGAAACGGTCCTGAGTAAATCTGATTTTGTCAGAAATCGGGAGAAATGCGGGAGAAATATGACCCCGGGAGGAAACCGGGAGAGGGCAATGAAATCGGGAGTCTCCCGCAAAAATCGGGAGGGTTGGCAAGTATGCACTCATGTTCAGATTCAGATGGAAAATACAGATTATAATATAATGTCACGGTTCTGAAGCTGTTCTCACGTCTGATTTAGAACATTTAAATAATGCTGTTGCCCCGGAAATCAAAAAATAAAAGTTATTATAGAGTAACAATTCATATTAAAAACACACTTAAAATATATAAAGCAGTTATTATCATTATTATGCAGAGTATGTGCAAGGCATTGTGGGTAATGTAGTTTTTGTGAAGGTGCGGAGGTTGAGCATTTTCTTCCGGGTACTATGTTACTTATAAATAATAAAATGGTTACCGAGTATCACTGGCTGCTGGGGTTGAGGGAAGAGCTGAGGGGGAGGGAAGGGGTGACTCATAGGGGGAGGGAACAGGTGAGGGGGAGGGAACAGGCGAGCTGGAGGGAACAGGCGAGCTGGAGGGAACTGTCTCTGCATCCTGTAGAAGACAAAAGGAAAGCAATATCTTACTGTAAAGCAGTGGTTATAACTTTGTAATAGATAGATAGGCCTACTGCTGTATTCTTTGAATTACATCCCATATGGGTAATTTGTTCAAATGTATCCATGCTGTTCAGTTTCAGTATGCACCCAAAAGAGTACAAGAAACAAATCTAGGGTGAGATTTGTTTTAGCATCCCTCCACACAGAAGAGTTGGCTGCATAGAGACTCTGTGCAGCCAATACAAAATGTATACATAACGACACAGTTGTCTGCATAACGGGCTGAGTATATTGACATTGGTATTTATTCTGAAATTTCAATAGATTGTTTATGATGTGACTGATTATGGACAGAAATGATTTCGGGGGTCATTGACTTCGTATTTTCTTGGTAAAGTGGGGGTTTTCTTAAAATATGTTTTCAAGGCAGTGGAGTAGTTAAACATACATTTAATAAAATAATATAGATTACTTTAGGGCTAACTAGAAAAGATACCAGAACTGATGGAGGGCAAATTAAAACATGACTGACCTGCTTGGAGCATCAAGCTAACTGAAGCTGGACTCAGACGTGCAACAGCGAAATACACCCCCGGGTACAAAATAAAGGTATAATAATTCCATAAATACCTATATAGGCCTATATCTAGTGATGGCAGTTTGATACTGAAGCTTTGAACGGAGCTTCAACCCTCCATAGAAGCAGTGACGAAGCGTCCACACAGCAGCGTTAACAAAATCTTGGAACGCTTCTGCCCATTCATTGATTCGAAGCTTGCTTCAAATCACGTGACATATGACGTCCGAACCAGCAACTGCTTCAAATCACGTGACATATGACGTCCGAACCAGCAACGGCTTCATTCCCTGAATGAATCACTTGACTGGTTCGCGGTCCAATCACGCGATTCAATGCACTGCCTCGTCTCTATTCTGACAGGTGACAGGTTGAAACAGTTTCAAATTTGAGCGCTTCAACACTTATAACGGCTCTAAACAATGCGCAATGTGTGGGTAGTTTGCGTTGTTGCTGTTGAGTTGTTGTTGGTATTGCATTTTAATTGGATCATTATAGAGCAAGCCAGGAAGAAAGATAGGTCGTTCTGGCTCGGGAAACACTTCGAAATGTGGAGAAGTTAACACGAATATAAAAAACATCTGAATAGTTTAAGGTATAGCCCAGTGGATAGAGCCGGCGGCCCGAAGCGGCGATGACCACCGCGCAGCTGGTTCAAAGCCCGGAACGGATGAACGTTTAATCATTCCTTTTCAACTTTAATACTTTATTAACTGATAAAAGGCCCTCTCCGCCCAAAAAAAATTCCAGCACTCTCTAGTCTCTTCTCAATAACCCAATACACACAATTATCAATCTTTAATTGCAAATAGAACATGATATTCAGTCTTAGTGTGTGTGTGCATCGAATATTTTTCAAGGCAAAGATACGTTAAACCCACTGCAGCCTTGCACTTCGCCAGGAGAGGTCGCTGTAACTGAAGCTTCGAGAAATGAACCTATTTCCGTGTGGTTCGATGCTTCATTCAAAGCTTCATTTTGCCATCACTACCTACATCCAAAACAGTATGTAATTTGTAGCCCGGGCGCAAATAGCATTGTTAGCTACAGACATTGTTAGCTCGCATGCCACGGTGAGTAGTGGCAACACTAGTATGATAAATAAAATAACATTGTACCTTGAAAATCAATGCATTCTAATAGAGTGGCGAAGTCACGCCCATCTACTTCCGCCCCATGGGACCTTATTTCGGAAAAATAATGTAT